CATATGCGCTAAATAAAACAATATTGTAATATAAACGATGTGTTATATGCTTCGCTATAATGTTTACGATAATACTTGCAATTTAATAAGACGTGTATTTGTTGAAATATCAAATTTTACTGAAACGTTAATATAGTAAAGTTTCTTAACTTTTGTCGGTAATTGTATGTAAGAGGTTCTCCTGGGAAGAATGTAAATTAAGGGAGGACACCACCCTAACGGTTCAAAATGATCAACTTCTCTTTCATTTTTTTTCTTTTTTAAGTTTCAAGTATGGAATGTCATACGAACGCGATATTTCGAAATTCAAAAGTTTTAGCGTCTGAGGATAAGTAATTTTGACGATATTTTTGATACGTCAATTATTCAATTTCTTTCTTAAACCTGTACGTTACATTTTAGGTAATAGTTTCTGGTTTATAAATCAACGGAATTTTTATAACGAAAACGGATTTCGGAGACGACGAATATAACTTTCCCATTTTTTACCATTTTCATTTCGAAAAGATTGAGGTACAAAGCTGGATCTTACATTTACATTCTTTTCGAAAGAATAATTTTATCTATAAAAAAAATTCTCCAATTTAACCATTTTCTTAACGCCTCGGGGTGGTGTCCTCCTTTAAAAGCGATTGCCACGTGTTCGTGAAATTATAATCCATATTATTATATATATATATATAATTATATATATTATTATTATTATATATATAATAATATATAATATATAATATATATATATATTATTATAATATATAATATATATATATATTATTATAATATATTATATTATTATATATATAATAATAATAATAATAATATATATATATATATATATATATAATATATTATTATATTATTATAATCCATTTATTTTTTATTTAATAAGTATTAATTAGTGACGCGTTCGTTGGAGAAACTTGTTGTAAGGCTTCTGAATTTCCTTATGGTTTNTTACGTTTCATGTAATAAGTATTAATTAGTGACGCGTTCGTTGGAGAAACTTGTTGTAAGGCTTCTGAATTTCCTTATGGTTTGTGGATGAATGTCGGATATTGATTTGAGGGAATTTAAAAAATCAGGCGGAGTCGAACCGAAAGAAATGGAATGCGGAATATTTGAAAAACGAGGCCTATATCTCGCAGCGAAATACTGAAATATTGATGGATCATGGAAAATAGAGCAGATAGCATGTTGAGAACCGTTGTAGATTCTTCGCTAATTGTGTTGTAACAAAAAAACAAGTTCTCGTAACGGATGCATAAACCGTGAACCGATTGCGACTAGAATTTCAATAAAATCAATCGTATCTACAATTAGCGTGGCTTTAAATAGAACTCGTTAATCATCGTTGCGGCAACATTAAAAAGTAAAAGTGATCGAAACGATCTCTCCGTGAGCAATTATCGTTGGGAAATTGGTGTGCCAAGAATATGTGTCTTCGGCAATCCCTTCGACTTAGCTCGCCGATCAGGAAGGAAAAAGCACAAATAAAGGAGGTCCAAAGTAAAAGGGTAGAAACAAGTAAAAGCAACCAAGGCCGAACTGCAGTGGTCGTCCCAAGTCTTCGTAGGATCGAAATGTATACAATCGTAGAGTAGGTATACAGTGTATCATGGTTTAAGTTTCTCAAGTGATACAGGACGAGCATCTTGCAAAACAATGTGAACGTTTAAATGCAAGTTCAGTTCTTAGCTTAGTAACTTCTGAAAAATAATTAATTATTCGCGCGTCGCGTGTCACTGAACTGCATAACTGTTACGAATACGAGAATATAGTTNTTATATATTATATAGTATAATAATATTATATATAGAAAATATAGTTATAATATTAATATAATAAATATATATATAATTATATTTTCTACATATAATATTATAATATAATATAATATAATATAATATAATATTATTATTATTATTATTATATTATTAATATTATATAATATAGTATATTATATATAGAAAATATAATTATAATAATAATATAATAAATATAGTTATATATATATTTATTATATTATTATTATAACTATATTTTCTATATATAATATTATATATATTATACTATATAATATATAATACTACTATATAACTATATAATATAATATTATATTATTATTATTATTATATTATTATTATAACTATATTTTCTATATATAATATTATATATATTATACTATATAATATATAATACTACTATATAACTATATAATATAATATTATATTATTATTATTATTATATTATTATTATAACTATATTTTCTATATATAATATTATATATATTATACTATATAATATATAATACTACTATATAACTATATAATATAATATTATATTATTATTATTATTATATTATTATTATAACTATATTTTCTATATATAATATTATATATATTATACTATATAATATATAATACTACTATATAACTATATAATATAATATTATATTATTATTATTATTATATTATTAATATTATATGTAGAAAATATAATTATATATATATTTATTATATTAATATTATAACTATATTTTCTATATATAATATTATTATACTATATAATATATAATACTACTATATAACTATATAATATAATATTATAATATTATA